TCAGGGTGTGGCATGCTCCCAGTATATAGAGAGAGCTTTGAGAAGGTCTCTAGCTTTTGGACACACGTGGGCTGTGTTGCCTGCTGATCTGGGGTTCATCAGCATCAGCAGGCAGCAGCTACATGAGTTAGAAGAAGCCTCCAGCTCCAGTGGGCCTGGAACAAGGGGCAGAGCAGAAACCCAAAGTAGAGGGGCCTTCACCCAGCCCCTAGAGAGCCTCAGAATTTGGACTTCTAGCCTCGGAAACTGTAAGGGAATAAATTCTTGTTTGTTAAAGCCATCCACTTGTGGTATTTCTGTAATAGCAGCACTAGAGAAGTAAGACACTGTGCAAAACAGTATCCAGTCCAGTGCCATACATTTGGTTGTTCCTTAACTATTGCAGTTTAGCAGAGTTGTTGACACTCTTTTTCCTTCAAGGGCCAGACAGTAAATATTTTAGGCTCTGGGGGCCGTATGATCTCTAGCAACTACTCATATATGTTGTTATCGTACAAAAGTTTCAATAAAACTTTAATCAGTTGCTGTGGAGTTGACTTCAACTCATGGTGAGCCCATGGAAATGGAAAACTGTATTCCAGAGGGTTTCCCATGACGTGTTTTTGGAAGTAAATCACCACGCCCTTCCTTCCATGGTGTGTCTGGCTGGACTTAAACCATTAACCTTTTGGTTAACAATAAAATTTGAGGAGTGAAATTTGAATATCTTGTAATTTTTATGCATCTTGAAACATTATTATTATTTTTATGTTTTTCATCCATTTGGAAATGCACAATTTGGCCCATAGGCCATATTTTGTTGTTATTGTTAGGTGCAGTCAAGTCAGCTCCGCCTCATAGCGACCCCTGTGTACAACAGAACAAAACACTGCCCAGTCCTGTGCCAGCCTCACAATCCCTGCTACACCTGAGCCCGTCGTTGCAGCCACTGTGTCAGTCCATCTCATTCAGGGCCTTCCCCTTTTTCATTGTCCCTCCAGTTTAACAAGCATGATATCCTTCTCCAGGAAATGGTCTCTTCTGACAACATGACTAAAGTAGGTGAGGTGAAGTCTGGCTATTCTCGCTTCCAAGGAGCAGTCTGGCTGCACTTCTTCCAGGACAAATTTGTTAGTTCATTTCTGGAAGTTCTCTGTCAGCATACTGCTGCAACCGTTTTTGAATTACCTTCAGTAAGATTTTATTTGCATGAGATATTAAGGTTATTGCTTGATAATTTTTACATTCTGTGGGATCACCTTTCTTTGGAATGGGTACAAATACGGATCTTTGAGTATTCTTCACCAGCACTACAACTTAAAAGCATTAACCCTTTTTT